GTTCGAAATATTTGCGCCGAAAGAGTGTACACGAAAAAGCCGAATGCATGAGAACCATAAGATAAGATACGTACAATTGCTCCACATAAATTATCTTGTGCGCTCTTTAGGGAGGATTTTTTCACATTTAACGTAAATGTGTCATACAATTTTTGACCAGCAAATGGAACTGTGAAGACGATGATCAAAGCCACTTGCATGAGAAGCATTACCAACAATTGACCATCACGTCTTGCAGTTCTCTTGGACTGTTGTACACCATTCGGTAACACTTGACGACGAGTTCGTTGAAGATTGCGAAGAGTAGCTAAACCAAAGACTAACATCATTAAAGGTGGACCCAATGCATAAAATACAAGGTATTGAAGATCGGAAAAGATACGATAGGGTCCGGCTATTGCATAGCATGTCGTTGAAGTAGAAGTTTTCTGAACACCGAAGTAAATCAGCACATTAGAAAATGACACGATGCATATGATGGTAGTTATTACAATGACTAGACGAGCAAATGACACACTATTAAAGCGTCGCTGCACTTTTATGCTCGATGCCCATCGATCAATACAGGCCAATAACACAAACCATGTTGAGAGTGTTCGTGAAACATATGTAAAAAAGTATCTTGCTTTACAAAATGCATCCGATGTCGTACTCGGATCTATTTTATAGCCATCAGAAAAAATTCGTGTAAGAACAACCCAATAGAGTACAACAAGGTTGGCAACTGTATTTCCCATGAGATAATGTGTGCATGAATTGATGGAAAGATTTCGACGAGTAAATATTATAATATTTAAAATTACACCGATTGTACCGAGTATAAGAAATGGTAATGGTAAATAGCGATTCACCTGTATGTTCATATAGTTAAGCCAAGCAGTCGTATCCGATGCTGTCGAAGATGATGACATGATTTTTTAGTCTAAATGCAATTTCCGCTTGTAGTGAATGCATTTATTCAGGTGGCATTTCTCATTTTCTCTTTTTCTTTACCATAATGTTTATTAATATAATTGCTGAGGCAAGAGAGTCATGTAAGGCTATATTTTCTAAAATGAATTCTCATTCGTTGATTAAATAAATGCAAATCTACTGCAGAGCATGCATGACAACAATGTCAGATAGTAACTATAAGCCATATTAATGCAAGAGAGTGGATTTGTATATTTTTATGCGAGAGAGAAATGAAGTCAGTAATTATTCATCTCATTCTTCAGCTCACTAGAAAAAAAAATTCTGAATGCAGTGAATAACGCAAAATATTGTCTGAAAAACTTTTATTCTTTCAGATCTTCATAAAGAAGGCTTAATATTTTTCCGGTGTATGAATATTGATTGATGTTATTCATGCCTATTCTGAATTTTCAGTTCAATTGGCTGAGAAATGACTTTTTCAGACTTCGTTGAATATCTATTTGTTAAGTTTGAATCGATTCCTAGAAGAGAAAAAGGAGTGCTATCATATTTCTAATAGAGAAAAATCGATGTGTTGCAAGTTTAAAAGGTATCTTTTCAGTGCTCTAAGACACGAGACTATGTGTCTACAAGTTTGTACAAATCTATCGAAAAGCTTTTTATCTAATACCCTTAAATCTTGATCACTTAACAGAAAAAACTACCGTCTTTTTAATTACTTCCGTTCTTTCTTTGTTCGTAACACATTTATAGCTTTTTTGAATTCAATTAGAAGAGATTTGTTAGATCTATAGCTGGAAGAGAACATTTCTTTATCTTCAAAGCGCATCTTTTTTTTTTTTTAATAATTTTTGATACAATCAGAAAATGTAATTACGCATCATATTATATTCTTGCCTATAGTACGGATATTACGCGCTGCTTCCCACGGTCAGTGAAGAGATTACAGGGGGTGGAGCAACTCTAACAAAGTTTGAACGTTATGAAGCACTGCTATTGATGTGCTTATCTCCCTGCTACGATAGTTTCGGCTTGTGACTGAGCACCTGCTTTTCATTCTCCTATAATGATCGAAATTTATTAGACACTGCTCACTATTTTCGATCCAAAAATCTATTCGAGTTCTTGGAGAGCAATATTTGCTATCAACAACTTCAGAACACAACAGTTCGTTCAATTCTTGGCTGTGTGCATTCTCATACATTCATGTCAGAAACTTTATCATTAATTTGTGTTTAATTTTTGTGAGGAGGAGGCTACATGCGTATGATTATATTTAGTACAATAACCGATTTTTCTCCAAATTTTAGATCTACTTACTGACATATTTTTCATGAGAATGATTGATACTGGGAAAAGTTAGAAAGTTATATTGGACTGATTTGTGTGACTATTTGACAAATATCTATTCAATCGTTGCTAGAAATATAGACCGAATCAATTTGTTCCTGAACGTATAGTTCTAATTTATCTTGTCAATTAATTGGTCGATGTCATACATGTGGAAAGAAGAAAAAAAAACACATAGACCGTACAACTAATCGAAGAACAGTTGTGAATCCCTAAGCGTATAGGGAAGACATATCGTATCTACATTGATTAATGTTAGTAGTCCCTGTAGAAGAATCTCATTTCATGCACTTTTGCTAATGAACACATATCTATCTTTCATTCTCTGCTCTCGTGCATATATTCTCTGCGTCAGTTCTTTTCTTTTTTCCTTTCATATTCTCTCTGTCATTCGCATTCTTTCTCACTCACGCGCATACCCTCTTTTTTTTTCTTTCTTACAATCAATGAAATACTAGTGACTCTCTCTTCTTATCTCTGACTGATCAATATAGATGAGTTGACGAAGGAAACCAAATGTGTCAGTTGGTTTAGTTGACATTAAAATAGGCATAGTACAGATTTTTATCCAACGGTATCTATGGAATGAACTACAAATTATTTTCGTTTTCCACGATCAATATGTTCAGAGCACATCACAACTGTTTTGAATGACTGATATGTCTTGGATCTATTGATAGTTCACAATAGACAATCGTCGAATGACAACGAAAGAAAAATTCCTTATTGTTTTGTCGTTTGAAGCTCTTCTTACAGAAAGATATGAGACTATCTCAATGACTCTCCTCCTCAGCAAAATAGAATAAAGTATTTAGAACAATTAATTGAAGATCATGGAAAACAATGTCACAAATTCCAACAATTGTTCTCATCAGAAATTCTTCGTTAAAGATTTCAATTCAATCCGAAAATTTACTGTTTTCGATTTATGCCTTCAAAAAGACATTCTTGTGTCTTCTAAGGAATATCATATAAACTGAAAGTTTTCATTACTATTCAAAGTCTGAAAAACAAAACGATTTTTGAGACTTCTAAATAAAAAAAACATGCCTGAGAGCTCTTTCGTCTAGCGAATGATCAATCATAAAAAGTATTTTCATCACTAAAATATGTTGCGAGGATCAATAATGCGTTCTGCTAATCCTTGTACAAGAACAATGGTTAACAGCTTTTACATGTAAAAAGAGATATCCAAAATATCGAGAAAAAAAAACAGTGTTTCACATTTTACGGTTTCTCGATATCAACGTTTGCATAGAAAAATGATTGAATCATCTTTTTCCGAGCCAAGACAACTCCGATCAAGATGAATATTTTTTGTCACATGTACGAGATATTATTAAGGATACTATTTTATTTTTTTGGTTCATAAAATTATTACTTTTCACAGCGATATTCTTATTTTCATTTTCTCTTCTCAACAAGGCATATAAAGCCAAAACAAAACAAATTGACACTCGAATAATGTCAAATATTCTTAGACAATTTTCAACATGGCTAGACGTACCTTTTCGAAGAAAAAGGGCGAAAACTAAGACCATTCTGACTCCCTTGAGACCATCGTATCTCTTGGAATTTCGAGTCTATAATATTTTTTTTTATGTACTAGTCAAGATCTAATTGGTTCAAAATTCTCAGAATTTTCTGACAAATTACTCTCTAAAAACAGCGAAAGAGTGTGGGTTTGATCGTAAATGCAGTGGGAATGTATGTGCGGACAAAATAAACATCAATACTCACACCTACACTCTCATGTGGTGATGATAAAATGATTTTGACATAGATATGATTAATAATGATTTGCTTTTATTTTGGAGAAAAAGAGAATTAATTTCCAAATATTGCTGGTATTGCTTATAAGGTGTTGGCCGTTCCAGTGGCGAACACCTTCGTCGAAAGATTATTTTCTTTAACCAAAATTATGATCTGTGACCGAAGAACAATACTAGATGCTGAAAAAAAATTGATCAACTTATGTTTTTCAAAGAAAATTTCATTTCGTTTAAGCATATGTTTGATTCAAACACTATTTCAATAACATACTCATCAAAAAGAAAATCCAATGATGTACATGAAGAAAAACACTAATGATAATTTTACTTCAGAAAAGCTCAAAGTTAAGGAACCATATGAGTATAATCTGTTAAGTGATGATAACGAAAGTGCAAAAAAAAATTATTGATCATTAGATTAATAGTAAAGTTTTCGTTTCTACTAATGAATTTTGTTATCGTTCTATCATTGCCTATTTTTTATTAATTTTAATTAAGATTTATCATTAAATATGAACGTAATAAAAAGCTTCGTTTTTTTTTAAATTTCACGATAAAGTAACGGGCATCCATATGTCATGAGTAATCATTTTTATGAATAATTAAGGATAAGACAACTTCACAGATGATGCTTGTATAAAGAAAAACACGAACATTAAAAAGAAAATATTTTTTGTTATTCAAAAAAACCTTGAAGCTTTGAATTCAGTATTTGTTGTTGTAAGTATCTACCATAGATTTTTGAAAAGAATGGCAATGCTGAAGATTAATACGGTGTAACGCACATCTGTCTTGCAATTAAAAATGGTAATAAAAGTCTTACCCTTGCTTACATTCAACAAGGACTTGATATGAACTATCGAAAGTGTCGTTGGTGTAACAGTATTTATTCGTAATTGTAATACAGGAAACGCTGATATAGTCAAGTTTTTGCTCGATCATATAAATAATCTCGATATCAATATGACCGATAAATGTAGTCATTCAGCACTTGATTATTCATATCAATATGGTCATAATGAAATTCTTTGTTTACTTCTTAAACAATCAGAAATGCAAGTTAAATTATATTCGATTTAAAAAGGATCAGGAAATATCGAAGTAAACATTTTGAAAGAACTTATTGATCTTTATAAAATTCAAAGTAATTCTTTATCGAACCTTTTAATTTTTTTGCAAGAAAATTTGCATCACTCGATCTCTTTCAATATGCACTTGATGACACGAGAGAGTCTACTATTCTTACTGACGATATTTTTCTATCGACATGTCGATGCGAAAGGTATAGACAGAGTTTATGCATGCAGCATATAGTCAATCATACTCGATTATTAAGCTATTACTACTAGAAAATGGAGCTAATCCACATGTAAAAGATCATAACAATTGTGATGCTCTCTATTGGGCTCAGATGGGTTATGATGATGGTGCTGGTTCTATGCGCTGTAGAAATCCACCAGATATCGTTGTTAACATTATTCAAATTCTTCGTGAATATGAATCTAATTAACATTGAACAATTTTTGATTTTCTTTTTTTCCTTCATGTACATCTGTATCTTTGTGTGCATATTTCTTTCATTCTGACACACTTCACTTGTGTCATATGTTCTTTATTGTTAACTTTGACTGATTCAATTTTCATATTTTGATCAAAATAGATACATGCAATCGACTGAATTCTGATAGAAAAAAAGAAGATATTTATCGTTCCCCTTATATTTTTGCATCGGTTATCTATTGAAACAAACTGTTTTATTGCAGTGGATATGAATCATTGTTTGACTATTAAATTTAACATCAATTCTTCTAACACTTTGGTTGTGTTATGTAGTTTATTTGAACAATTTCACTTCATTTGATGATCATGTTGTTGTAGACTAAAGTCCAATTCACAATTGAAGTCTTGGATTCATTAGAACAGTTATCATTAAAACGAAATTCTTTCTCTTTTTTGAATATTGACTTTAGTTTCTCAATGAAAAGACAAGGACGCAAGTGTATATCCAATCAATTAATCTTAATGACGATCTTTGTCACTACAAAATTTAAAGACAATTAACATTCGAATTTTTAATTAATCAATAAGTATAACGTATATCGAATACTAAATTGTTTGTTTCTAGATTGAAAGATAACGAAATTTAATGTTAGTCTAGTAACTGTGTCTTATTTACTCATCTATTGTAGACAATCGAATTTCTTTTCATTAGTCAAATTTGAGTCTTATATTTCAAATAGAATCTCATCATTGACTTTCAATTGATTAAGTACTCGTTCGAATATTTTCTAAGAAAGTCTAAACCGTTTTTCTAATTAGTCAACTTTTTGGAGTTGTTTTCTTATCAATGTAATAACCAATAAGTTCGATTTTTTAGACAAAATACCAAACTGAATGAAATATCTGTTCTTTAGCATCTATTGAAGAATAAGAATGAATTCATTGTAACATTGAAAACTACAAACTGATGCAATCATGTTTTTGAATAGTTTAATCTTTCTGAATATGATTGTTTTTTACTCACTATGGAATATCTATCTCACATGTTTTGAATTGAATCTCCTTAAAGATTTACTTCGAAAACATAGTTTGAACAATTCTCTCATTTCGCATTGCTCATTTTCTTTTTCTCAGAAGAAAAAAAGTTTGCTTCTGTAAGTTATTTCAAATTTCTATTTCGACTTGACAACAATCTTGTCTAAACGAATAGCGAATAATTCATTGTAAAAACGAGAAATTTGTTCAGTTCAATAAAATTGCTATTTTTAAAAAAATCATAAGCAATATCTTCAAAATTGAAATCAATCATTCATTTTAGAATCTTCTCTATTAGAAAGCAGAAGAACAATGTCAATTAAAGAAAGACATATGACTAGATATTGTCGTCTGCTGTTGTCAATACAAACAAATAAACTTCAATTGTTTGGATGTATCTGCTCTGAGTTATAGCCATACCGAGAATGATATTTTGACTAAAATTTTGCCTCTTGAGTATAACTAGTAAAATACGAGAAAACAAAACTTTTTATACATGAATCGATAAAAATATAGTTAACTGCCCAATGGCGATCTCTGCCTCCCACTACGGTTTCTAATCATTTGGTGCTGTCGAAACGACGATACCGATGACAGTTGAAAACAAAAATGAGATATACAGAGCAGAAGTTAAATTTCTTGTAAATACATTTCCATTGATCAATACAAATTCTGCAATAATTTGGATATACGTATCTGCTCATTAAAATTCATTAATATAAAAATTTTTGTTTTTCAACGATGAAAGAATGCCATTGGTCTAACAAGAGTCGAATAGTCAGTTTTAGTTAAAAGACGATGAGAAAGTTCTATCTTGAATACAACTGTCTATGTCAATATTATTATTCAAAAGTATGTTAATTCCACTTCCATCTTTTTAGTCTCATTTTGCTTATCAAGCTCTGTGATTACATATTTAATTTGACAGTAACAACCAATTCGATACATCATACAAAACGCTGATTCAGTATGACTCAATACATTCATTCGGTATTCGTGAATGGAAGAAAGAAAATATTAGATTACCTTGTGTTTGAATGAATATGCGCAGCACGTGTAGCAGTTACAACAAAATTTGTTTCATTCTTCACTTTGTGCAAAGGTGAATAATAACACAACATTCATATATATATATATATACTCAACTGATGTTGCACAAGCAAAAATGTTTATGATATATCAAAGTAATAAATAATACAGATTGTAACCTATTTTATTGCCATTTCAATCGATAGAATAATAGCTTTTGCTTTAACAGAAGAAGAGCCTCAATGAAGAAACACTATCATGTATACGGTGTGGGTGCTGCACTTGTAGACACAGAAATCAATGTAACTGATACCGATCTTGCGGCAATGGCAATCGAAAAAGGTATGATGATACTAGTGGATGAAGTGCGACGGAAACAATTACTCGATAGTCTTGCTGATCATCTGGTGTGTTCAAAGCGGACCAGTGGAGGATCTACAGCCAACGCTATTATCGCTATTGCACAATTCGGCGGCAAAACATTTTACACCTGTAAAGTTGGAGATGATGACAACGGTCGATTTTACTTACATGATCTACATACAGCAGGTGTCGATTGTCAAATTGATCAGCGTCACATTGAAGGTATCACTGGTACTTGCTTGGTGATGATTACTCCAGATGCTGAACGCACATTGAATACGTTTCTTGGTGTCAATACGACACTATCGGAACATGATATTGTGTTAGAAGCTATTGTTGCTTCCGATTACGTCTACTTCGAAGCCTATATGGTGATGTCACCAAGCAGTCGTACAGCTGCTATTCGCATACGTGAAATTGCCGAACAGAATGGAGTAAAAATTGCAGCGAGTCTTTCGGATTCAGGTGTTGTGTTAGATTTTCGCGATGATTTACGTGAAATGTTCGGCAAGCATATCGATTTATTATTTTGCAATCGAGTTGAGGCATTGAATTGGGCACAAACCGACAATCTAGAAATTGCCATCGATTGTTTGAAAAAGTTTGCTCGGACATTTGCTATTACACTGGGTGCCGAAGGCGCCCTAGTCTACGATGGCACACAACTGCACACTATTGCACCTTACAAAGCACAAGCGGTGGATACCAATGGCGCGGGGGATATGTTTGCCGGTGCGTTTTTATTCGCCATTACTCAAGGAAAAGATTTTTTGACAGCAGGAAAATTCGCAAGTTTGGCTGCAGCATCTGTTATCTCGGAATATGGATCACGTTTGAATACAACGAAACAGCAACAGATTTTAGCACAATGGAACAATATTGAGCAAAATTTTTGATGCTAAGTAAAAGACATTCTTTTATAAATACTAAGTAAAAACGATGATTTTGTTGGAAAATAAATCAAATAATTTTGTCCCTACTCATTCCATCAAATTTTATTACCAATTGAAATAGATGAAAGTAAATAGAAAAAAAACATAGAATACTAAGCAATGGGTCTTGATCATACTATCATTATTCTTCAACATCATCCATACGAACGCGATTACGGACACCAATAATATGTTGTACTTGTAGAAATTTCAGCTGATGCACGGAAGTTTTGACAGCATTGATACAAGCTATTTCTCTATTTGGCGAGGGAGTAACGACATATTCAAACACATTTAAATAACAAACTCATAATATTTAATAATAACAACAACAAATTCACCGTGTCTTGTAGAGAAAATTGTGAAATTGAAATATTGTATGATGAGATCATTAACATTTTTATTATTTTCACTTACTCATATTTTGTCGAGATGCCATCTGATATGCTATTCTTCGTTGGAAAATATTATGGCTCATACGATATTTGAATCAAACTGTTCTACCTAGTGTCAAATGTATGAATACATTCATAATTTCCTCAAGACGTTGTCTGATTTGTAACACTAAACACGTTTTATTATTTTCATCTACTAAGTTCAATTTGATATGTCAGTATTCATTGTGCTGAGCTTCTTCATTCATTATGATTTTCAGCATACATTGATTATATACTAGATTTCTTTAAGTCGGCGACTGAACTTCTTGCAAAGAAGAGTATAAGTACGTAGCCGAATCGTTATATAAAAATCTCTGTTCCTTGTTGACTGGACTAAATTGAATGATATATCTGCATCAAACAATGCAACGCTCAACTGGTATTGACTAGCTAGTTTATCAATTTCTATCGAACAAATACTACTATATAGTATGAATATTGTCAGATTTAGTGGTCATGAACGATTAAATACGTAGTTGTTTTGGATTATTAGACATTATTCTCTTGTGAGTCTTTTATCTTCATCAGTAACAAAGCCTTTGATCAAACTAGATTATGATATTGGAAATCGGCGCATCATAGAAATATAAGAATATAGCTATTTTTGGTCTATCAGCCGGCATCTATTTAATTTGGCTACATAAAATATTAGGCTTTGGTTGTAGTCTGACCATTTATTTTTTGTTCGTTTAATCGACGAGAAAAAAACTAATGAGAAGAGAACAGAATTTTTATTGAGCTGGTTCAAGCAATAAGAGATCGAGGAAGAAGACAAGAAGAGAATTGTAGTAAGAATGATTGGCATTCATTCATGCCTGTCACACAATGATGCCACACGAACTAGCCGTAGTTCTAGATTGAGAGAAAAAAATTCGATAGTAATATATGAGTTTATTATTCTTGTTTAGGAAATATATCATCAGCAGTATATTAGATAGAAAAAAGTCAGTAGTGATGATGTCAACATAGACGCACAAGAACAACCACTCGTTATATCAGATCGGCTATGTTCATTGGCATCTCTCGTACTTTGGTATTGTAAAATTGTTCGATGCTACGCATTGATGCTCGATCTTCCTCGGTGACTAAATTAATGGCGACACCTTTGCGACCGAATCGACCGCCACGACCGATGCTGAAAAAAGAATTAGAAAAATCAATTTTTACTTGGTTTCTTTTATGTCAAATATTTGAAAGTGATCATACCGATGAATATAATTTTCACGGTTGTTCGGTAAATCGTAATTAATGACTACGCTGACTTGTTGAACGTCGATGCCACGGGCAAGTAAATCGGTTGCGATCAACACTCGACTGGAACCAGAACGAAATTCTTTCATGATAATATCACGCTGTTTCTGATCCATGTTACCACACTAAACGAAAAAAGAAAAAGAACAATCGACTATGAATGGACGTTGTCAAACAACTCTTGTTCGTTCGATCTATCGAAAAACCGTCAAAGACTTTATGATTTATTGAATATTTATTTTCTGATCAAGTTCAATATGTCTCAGTAGAAAATGTGTATGTTTGGTAAAATTGATCGTATGAATATTTGCTGACAATGTGATGTTCTGAAACTTACCATAGCTGAAACAGTGAAATCGCGGTCGGTCATGTTTTTGGTCAAAAATTCAACTTTTCGACGAGTGTTACAAAAAATGACAGCTTTTGCAATTGACATTGTTTCATAGAGATCGCACAGTGTATCCAATTTGTAATCCTAAACATGACAGATCAACGTGTGATGAGTTTATCGAATGAAAACATTAATTCATGATCATTGAACACTTACTTCACGTTGAACATCGACATAAAATTGGCGAATACCCTCAAGTGTCAATTCTTCTTTTTTGACGAGAATTTTCACCGGATCATTCATGAATTTCGTTGTTACTTCGAGGATGTCGCTGGGCATAGTGGCCGATAGAAGAATAGTCTAACGAGAGGAAAATCATCTTAAAAACGAAAGAATCATTTCAGTCATACTTGAATATTTTCCGGCATCAACATGAAAATGTTGTAGATTTGTTGTTTGAATCCTTCTTTAAGCATTTCATCAGCTTCATCCAAGACAAGCATTTTGATATTTTTGCTTTCTGAAGTAATTTATCATGAAAAAATCAAGATTAATGTTAAATATTAACAACTTACGAAGAGCCCTTCGTTCGAGCATATCATAGACACGACCTGGTGTGCCGACAACGATTTGTACGCCCGATTCAAGCCGTCTGATATCGTCATTAACTCTACCACCCCCAATAAAAGCATGACACGTGATGTTCATGTAGTCACCAAGTGCTAACACGACCTTTTGGATCTAAATCCAACAAGAAATCGGCTTTCGTTAATGAAAATATCTCTAAGTCGTACCTGTTGAGCCAATTCTCGTGTAGGAGCCAAAATGAGTGCTTGACACTCTTTGAATTCCATGTCAATTCGTTGTAAAATCGAAACAGCGAATGTAGCTGTTTTGCCTGTGCCTGATTGTGCTTGAGCAATTACATCGTGTCCTGAGTGAAATATTAGTGATCACTAATTCGATGAACGGCCAATTCTTTTTACTTACCCAAAATGCACGGTTTAATTGCGCGTTGCTGAATAGCAGATGGTCGTTCGAAACCATAGCTATAAATACCACGTAAAAGTGGTTCACGCAAGTTCATCCGATCGAATTCTTCAACCAGTTCAGTCCAAGTACTCTCGATAATCCCGTCTAAAATGAGGAAACGTTCATGGGTATATTATTATTTCAATCTATTTTTTAAATATACATACTTGGTACCATCGAGGGTACGCCCACATTTGAACTCTGGTTGACATCACTCCTAGAATAGATTGACCGTCCATTAGTTAATTATCGATTTATTTCAACATGTATTCATTAAGAAAAAAACACAGCTTAATGCTTGTTAGTCTCTAGACATTGGAGTTGATTTATTAGGGCACAGTCTCTCAAATATTCATCTTTCTCAAGGAAGAATACTCAATTTTAATATGATTACATAAGAGATACACCTATGTGGTAAGCACTGAGGAGAAAATCAAAGACTAAACAGTCAGACAAACAGTTTATAAAACTTGTAAGAACGTGTAAATCTAGAAAAAATTTACGTATTTTAATATCTTCAGGTATTACCAACGTCATAAGATGTGCAAAGAAGTAGAGGTGACATGGGATGCAAAATGTGTACTCTAGAAGTACAGATTTTTGTGCGATACACAAAGGTCGAAATCGTTTATAGAAGGTAACCAATACAGACACACCCACGACTACAAAAGCACATTGTACGTCGATGGAGAAGAGAATCGAACAACAGTGCATCATAGTTTACCGTTGAGTTTCTCTGAGAGAAAAAAAAATCTTTTTCTTCGTCTTACTCGTTTGAATACTCGATCTTGTTTTCGTTTGTGTTTGATTTTGTCCGATTGCTGCTCATAAATGAATCAAAGTAAAATTAAAATACATTTAAAATATCTAGAATTCTAATGTATAAGAAAAAAACGTTGAGTTCCTTAACAATGAATAGACAAAAACAACATTGTTTTCAGATGATTGGAATCTCTTTGTCATCGGAAAGAAATAAGGAATAAATTCACAATAGTAAATTGTATGTGAGAGAGCTGCATCAGTTTGTATTCACTATATAAATGTAGACTATTGCGCAATTGCATTGTTACGAAATTACGAAGGAAGAAAAACCAGCCAACATGACGTAAGTATTTAGAGGTCATAAGATAATAAAAAACATGAAATGAACCAATAAGATGAAAAAAAAAATCATTTGAAATGTGAATTTCTCCAGAAAGAATAACTTGGTAAAGTAGATCAGAAGTGAACTTGAACAGTATGTGAAACAAGCCATTCTGATTTTATCGGTATTGTTTGTGGCGCTCAACACCATGTGTGTAGTTGGCGTTGATCGTCGAGTGAAAATTTTTCATCAGTACACTCATTGCTAAAAGAAGTGTGAATGTGAGTGTAGGCAGAACAAACACTCATACCCTTCTGAACAGAGTAGGAAACGAAAGCATTGTATGATGAAACAAGATTCTTTAGACATTCTATTGCATACATGGTTATTTTTGATTGAGTCATTCGATACTTTGATAACCCAACCGAACTTCGTGTTATCATTCATGTATCAACTTTCATGTTGTTATCGTCATGATTTTGAATCATTGTTAGAAAAACAAAAAGAAAAGGTCAACGTTCGAAATTACGATTTGATGCAGTCTCGTGTTGAATGACCTAAAAAAGTCCTGGATTCTTTAAATAACTACAAATCGTTTTCACCATGCATGTTCCGATTACCATGATTATCTATTAATAAAATACGACCGAGAAAAAATTTCAGATTGAATTTTGCTAAATTTTCTTTGAACAAAACAACAATTGATTCTTCATGTAAATTGTCAGAAAAATATAAAACTCTTCTGTTCAAAAAAAAAATTACATAACAAATGAATTTTTGAATATTCTCATTTTTTTGTTCTTTTTTAATTTTGAAATCATCAAATTCA